CCCCCAAAAATACATTTATAAATAAATGACCAAATACTGCAGGTATTTATCTGTCGGTAAACCAATTGAAAATTTTTAATTTGTTTTAATTTCTTTGGAAAAATCAGACAGTTCCGAATTAGACAAAGTAATTAATTTTTAAACATTTAAATGCTCTAATTTGCAGTTGATATCCAATTCAACTCCTTAATCACCTATATGTTTTAAGTGTTCGTATGTATGTGTCGCTTGTTCCAACTATCGTGTGGGAAACTCAATTTCCCCTTTGGTTCTGGAAATGTAATCGGTTTCCGTCCGCAGAGAATAACTTAACTTCCTTAGGCAGGTGATAACATTTCTCTTCGAAAGCAATGTCACCAGTGGATGACGACCTTTATTTGGAAACTCAATATTTCGATATTTTGCCGTTGGGGACGCGGTGACCCGGTATTAGTTCCATTTTAGGTAAACTATTTATTTTTTTAATTTAATTTAATATGAATAATTTGAATGTTTTTATTTTCCTTAAATATGTTTTTTTACAGTAACTTCGAAACAAATAAATCCTCTTCACATAAAAATTATTGTTGAACTTGAAAATTTGCAACTTTATGTCTAACACCAGTTTTGAATTTTGTCAATTTCTCCATTTTCTTTTTCTCTCAAAATATTTTCTTTCGCAGTATGAAAGGTCATAAGATTTTAAGTAAATTGTTTTATTTAAAAATGCCGTAATCAATTAAAAGTAAAGCGATTAAATTTTTAACATTATGCCCAGTCATGATTGCGTGAAGATTTTGCAGATTCCCACAAATACAACTTAAGCTATGCATATTGATTCGAATGCAAAGTTTTATTATCTCTCAGAACACAGCAATTAAATTAAATGAATAAATTGTAAAGAAAATTAAAAGTTCAGGGCAGAGAAAAGCATCTCGGAGAAAATAAGCTGCCAAAAGCTTTAACATAAATTTGAAATATTTGTTGTTGAGTTTTTTTTTTGTTACATTTTAATACTTTTTGAATACTTTCCAAATACTTGAGGATGTTGTTGTTTCGGAAAATATGAAAGAGGAAGAATTTGCAAATTCTAATGTTACTGAAAACTGGAATGAATATTGGATGTATTGCTAGTTGTACAGAATATCTGACACCCTATGGCGAATATCAAATAAGGCAATTTAAATCTATATTAATAAAAGAGTAAAGTAATTGACTGACTGACTGACTGATTTAACGATTCATCAACGCCCAGACAAACAGCCCGAATCTTGTAATTTTGGGTGAGATCCGAAGGCGTCAGAAAAGGCCTGGTCGGATACTAGAGCGGTACGAAAAGTATTAAAAGGTACTATAACTCTAAAATTTGGAATGAGGATAACTGGTGGAGTTTATGATAGGTGTACCCGAGGGCTTTCGGAAATTCGCACTAAAAATGTACGAAAAGTACTAAAATGTACTACATTTGGTACCATTTCGTATCAGGCGACCGGTTGGAACAAAAAAAAAAAAAAAAAAAAACAAGTTAAAAAACATTAAGTTCGGCCGGGCCAAACTTTTAATAACCTCCACCTTAGGGTAAAGGAAACTTCAGAAGAAATGTGGCAAAAACCATCAAAATACCGAATATTGGGAGGTATCGTTATATGAGGGCTATAACAAATCGTGGACCCATACATGCAATGTTTCGCCACAGGAGCTGGAATCCATTATGACCAACAAATACCAATTTTTAGACAAATCCGTAAAACAATGTGGCAAAAATAATCAAAATACCGAATATCGGGAGGTACCTTTATATGAGGGCTATACCAAAACGTGGACCTATACATGCCATGTTTTGCCACACATACAGGGATACGTTATGACCTACAAATACCAATTTTCAAACAAATCAGTGAAAAAATGTGGCATAAATCATCAAAATACCGAATATCGGGAGGTACCTTTATATGAGGGCTATACCAGAACGTGGACCGATATATCTCATTTTCAATACCAACCATCCTAGACACAACACAAATTGCTCTGCTAAATTTTGGAGCTCTACGTCAAATAATGTGGGCTGTATCGTGATTTCAATAGACAGACAGACAGACGGGCAGACAGACAGACAGGCGGACATCGTTAAATCGACTTAGAATTTTATGCTGATTATGAATATATATACTTTATGGGGTCTACGACGAATATTTAAGGATGTTACAAACGGAATTACAAAGTTAATATACCCTCCTTCCCAAGGTGGAGGATATAAAAAAACTTGAAATTTGGAATAGGAATCAAGATTGAGGAGTAGAGTCGATGTAAGGAAGTTGTTTTGGAAGTTTGTACTTCGACGGTACTAAATTTAGTACAAATTGAATTTGGAGGAACGGATGGAGTTGGAATCCTGAAATTTGAAATTGTCATTACTGGCGAAGTGTAGGATTGGGATATGGAAGAAATTTGTACGAAAAGTACAAAATTTGGTACAATTTCGATTTGGGTGAGCCGATAGGGCCGGAATTCTGAAATGTAGATATAAGATTTCAATTGGATTGTGTGATGTAGGTAGCTATGAAAATTTGTACTTGAGTGTACTAAATAGTACCAAATGCGGTACAATTTTGATTTGCTGGTATCTTGAACTTTGGAATTGGGATTACTGTCGGAGTGTACGATTGGGACGGGTAGGTAGTTTTGAAAATTTGTATTTATGTTCACCAATAGTACTAAATAGTACTACATTTGGTACAATTTCGATTTGGGTGAACCGATAGAGGTAGAATGCCGGAATTTGGAGATCAAATTACTATAGAATTGGAGGATTGGGGTATGTAGGTAATTTTGAAAATTCGTACTTATTTGTACTAAATAGTATTAAATTTGTTACAATTTAAATTTTTTGAAGGACGAACAGAGTTGGAATTTTGAAATTTGGGAATATGATTTCTATTGAATTGTATGATGTAGGTAGCTAGGCAGATTTGTACATATGTGTACTAAATGGTACATAATTTGGTAAAAATTGGAATTTTGGTGAGCCGATAGAGCTTCCATAATTTGAAATGAGAGTCACTTATGGAATGCAGGTTTTTTAAGGGTTTTTGGAAATTCGAACTTTATGGTTGTAAAAAAATTTTAATGTGGTACAAAACTTCTAAAATGGTACCATTTGGAATTTCGTGAACGTACAAGCTAACAACTTTAAAATTGTTATGAGATCATGGTTGTTATGAGATCACGGTTGACAGAGCTGAATTTCTGAAATTTGATATTCAGGTCACTGTTGGTTTCTATGGTTCACATAGGAAAATGTTGAAATAGGTTTGCACCAAAAATTGGATGTGAATTCATCGTGCAATGGTTTTACTAACATCCTTCCCGCTGAACTTCAAAATGTGAGCTTTAAAAGACTTTTTGATGTCCGGTTTAATTCCATTATTGTTGTTTTTGTAAAAACAACGCTTGAGAAAGATGGTACTGTTTACCATTTGTAACAACCCTGCCCCTGACTATTTTGTAACAACAAATTACTACGGTATCACGAACAAACGTACCGACACTGTTCTAGGTAAACATTTTCATATTATTCTTTCCGAAAAAAAAAGAGATGAGAATGATAGATAAGTTTTTTGAAAAAAAAAAAGTAAAAAAGCTATAAGTTCGGCTGCGCCGAACCTTGAATACCCTCAACCATTCGGTACAAATTTGGCAATTTAAAAAAAAAAAAAATAAAATCCATTAAAAATTCTGTTAAAATCTTAAAAATACCGAATGTAGCCGTATATTAGGGTCTATACGACGACGTGGACCTGCATAGGCAATTTTTATCATAAGCTATTATAATATTCAAATGCTTAACTTGAAAAAAAACTGTTTATAATGTAGCTGAAATAAATAAAATACCGAATATAGGGAGGTACAATACGTGGACCTGCACAGGCAATTTTCTGTCTTAGGCTGTAGTATCCATTACGAACTTCAAATACCAAATTTGAAACAAATCCGTTAAATAATGTCGCAAAAATCAAAATACAGAATATCGCAGGGTACCGTTATATGGGGCCTATACGAAGACATGGACCTGCATAGACAATTTTCTGTTATAGGCTGTAGTGTTCATTGCAAACTTCAAATACTAAATTTTAAATAGTTCCAGTAAATACTGTCTCTAAAATCATCATAATACCCAATATCGGGAGGTACGTGGACCTATATGGCTCATTTTCTGTTTTAGGATGTAGTATCCATTACGAACTTCAAATACCAAATTTAAAATAGTTCCGGTAAATAATGTCGCTAAAATCATTAAAGTACCGAATATAGGGAGGTACCGTTATATGGGGGCTTTACGAAGACGTGAACCTACATGGCCCATTTTCTATCTTAAGCCGTAGTATCTATTACGAATATTAATTATTAATTTTGAAACAATTCCGGTAAATAATGTCGCTAAAATCATCAAAATACCGAATATCGGAGGGTATCGTTATATGGGGGCTATACGAAGACGTGGACCTATATAGCCCTTTTTCAATACCAAAAGTCCTGCAGACATATTACACATTTGAGGAAATTTTTATCAACTTACTTTATTTCGTTCGGAAGCTAGAGTGATTTCCACAGACGGACCGACGGACCGACATTGATAAATCGACATAGAATTTTATGCTAATCAAGAATATATATACTTTGTGGGGTCTAAAATGTATATTTCGAGGTGTTACAAACGGAATGACAAACTTAATATACTCTCCATACTATAGTGGAGGGTAAAAAAAACATTAACTGTGGGAACGAATATAAAATTTTAAGGTATATTTTCGATGATGAAGTAGCCGACACTTGTTAGTGAATCAATATATCCGAATGTTGAAAGAGTATTACAAATTGAGTATATATTTTAATAAAGGGTATAATAGTCCAAAAATATTTCTTCGAAATATGCAATTTAAATTTCCATTCATAAAAACGAAAAATGTTTCAATTATTTCCTCGCCATTTCATTTAATTATTGTTTCCTCTCGTTTTTGCAGATTGGCGTCGTCATGTATTTGCTGTATTTGAAATTGGGCATTAGTGCCGTAATTGGTTCATTTGTTTGCATTCTGACAATGACTCCGCTGCAGTTTCTAATTGGCAAGGCAATGTCTCAGAATGCTGAAATAATGGCGGTAAGTTTACATTCATTATGCTATTATTTTAAACAGAGAAAATTTACTAAAGTTAAAGCTTAACTTAATTCGCCTTAAAGTATGCAACATTTTCTTATTCAACAATGTTAACTTTCTTGAGAGTAAGCAATATTTATTTTCAATTTCATTTGAATTCAACCTTAAACTACGCACACACACAGAATTTCGTTGCAACCTTTTCCCCTCCCTAAAATAATAGCTTCGTGTGTATAGTTATGTATAAGCGTATGCGTGTGTTTGACTGATGAAATGAAAATATATATGGGATATTATTGTATTAAGGAAACATTTTCTGAAGTTTATACCTTACCGCTTTGCTGGTGAAAAATTGACGCTAATTAACCGTCATTTTTCAAGTCAAGTCTGTAAGGAAATTTCCAAATTGTTTAAAATTTACTCTTTTTATGTTTAAAGTCGGAACAAGTATATTTTACATGTGTGTATATAATACCTTAAATATATGTATAGGCATTTCGTAGATATGTATTTTGGATTTCATATTTCTTTAAAAATATTCTGTAAAAACTTTATTTGGGGAAAAACCCCTTTTGTGAACAACAAGAATACTAATTAGGTCATTGCGATTTATGCATTTTTTGTAGTTTGATTTTCGAATAAAATGCAGACAATGAGATCTTTCAGAAAACGTATAATGTGATAAATCGGCTTAAGGTAAGCTATGTGACCCACTGTTAAATAAAATTCCATTTCCTGGCAAAACCCTAATTTTCTGTCATCACCGATTTCTAAAAAATAACATAAGGGGTCATATGACTCCACAACGTTTTGTGGAGATCGGCTCAAAGGTGTCCCATAAGAACGCAATTTTAAAATTTGGCGTCATTCGACAATTTAACAATTGTTATTATTTGCTAGTAGAAGGTTAGTAAAATTGGAGCATGGATAGCAAAGAAAGTTCGTTAATTGTGGTATTCGAGAGTCGACATGAAAATGTTGATTTTGCCCATTTCCATCTTGATGGCTTCTCCAATAGGCAGAATTGTCGCAATTGAGGTGAGGGAAATCATGTAGTGATTCACAAAAAGTAAGTGCATCCTCAATGGCTGGGTGAATTATTGGACCTTTTTAAGAAAATGAGACAGGTACGATATAATAAAGTTTCACTACACTTTTTATACCTACAACACTATGTGTTGGGAGTATTATAAGATTGATTGGGCCAAAAATTATGTAACACCTCGAAATATTGGTTTCCCACATAGGAAAGTGTATATGGATCTTCCTATATTTTTTTAATCACTCTACAGGTCGCAATTATGGCCCGATCTTCACGAAACTTAGAATGGAGGTGGGGCTAAAGCCAGAATAGAATCGCATAATATTTAAAGGTTGAAATGGTCCAAAAACTGAGAAATTTCCTGATTTTGCAGTTGCTCTACAGGTCACAACTATAGACCAATCGAAGCGAGAGTTAGCATGGCGCTAGAGCTTAGGGCTGGGCAGAATCCTTCCAATTTTTATGGTCATCGAGCAATATTTAGTGATGAAATAGACCATAACATTTGTGTTAAATGAAAGTAAAAATTTAGATTAAACCGCGAATATTTTTAGTCCCGGCGAAACCACAGGTCAACTCTGACCGTTACGTAGATGCCGATAGTAAATATATCGGATATATATAGCAGTATATATGCAATGTACAAAGGAAGGGGATGTTAGCTAGAATGCTTATATCTCAAGAATGGGTGGACCGATTTTGACAAATTTTGTCAATTCAGAATGCCCACTTGACATGAAAGAATAAAATCTACAAAATCGCATAAAAAGACGCCAATAATGATGTTAATATAGATTTCCTGATTTTGCAGCCGTTTTAAAGGTCACTACGATATTTGGCTATATTCATCACCGAAATCAGCATAAAAAACCAGAATTTCGCCTTTGATATATTTTGGATTTTGCCTGTAAGTTATTTTCAGCGTTTCGGTGGAATGGAAATGTTAGTATTTTTCCCACAAATTTAGTGGTACATTCTACCTGCGGTCCTAAACTATAATTTCATGCAAGAAACAAAGGACACGAAATCTTGCATGAAATTATAGTTTAGGACCGCAGGTAGAATGTACCACTAAATTTGTGGGAAAAATACTAACATTTCCATTCCACCGAAACGCTGAAAATAACTTACATGCAAAATCCAAAATATATCAAAGGCGAACTTCTGGTTTTTTATGCTGATTTCGGTGATGAATATAGCCAAATATCGTAGACAATCAAATCATATAGATGAGTCTAAATTTGGAGATACAAAGGGGTTTTCTTGCATTTGAAGATGATCACAAAATATTTAGGGTTTCAAATGAACCAAAAACAGATTTTTGCCTGAGAGGAAAGTTAAGGACAGGAAAGAATTCTAGCATTTTGGATGACCATTGGATTATATTTAGCTGTAACTAACAGCACGAGTGCGAAAATATTGGCCAAATGTCCCTAGTCAAGAAGCTAAGGGTAATATCTAGGCATTTTCTTTACATTTTCAAAATTGCGTTCTAGTTGAAACAAAGTTTATTAGTTCCTTATAATTCTAAATTACAACTCCTCTAAAGCCATAATACGTATTCAAAAACAATCATAGTTGGTATGATCTACTTTACATAAATTCTCAGTATAAACAATTATTTGTTGCGCGTAGCTCTACTATATATGCATTGTGGTGTAGGGTTGGTTTTGCCCGACTTCTGAACTTTTTAAATTGTTTTTGTGAAAACAGCATCATTTGTGAATAAAAACTGAAACTACAAAAACCCAAAGATGGATACTGACCTTGAACTGCCTTACGTCAACATGACCTTACCGTTTCATTGCAGTTCCTCCTTTTGCATTACCGTGGGATAATCATCTTGATCTGCAAACTTATCAGGTAGGTCTGAATAGTATTCCCCCATTTACATTAAATCTCAACGCAAATTGATAAAAGCGAGCAAAACATCAGTTCAGTCGAGGGAAACTTTGTACTTTAAGAGTACGGAAAATAGGTTGAGGGTACACCCGTGCAGTAAAACATTTTTCGGTGGGGTCCTGTTAATGATTACACGGTTCTCTATGATAACTTTAACAAGCAAAAAAGCTGTTAAGTTCAGCCGGGCCGAATTTTTATAGCTTCCACCATTTGGAAAGGAACTCATGTAAAAATTTGTCTGTAAATTTCGAAATTCCAGTATACGAGAAGTATGCCTTACTTTTGACATTAGGAACATACATTCCAAGCTTTAAATATACCTATAAAAATATTTTGATTAAAATCATCAACATACCGAATATCGGAAGGATGAGAATAGCCCCCGCAAAAACGTTGACCTATATAGAAATTGTTCTGCTACAGAAGTAGAACCCTTTATGAAATCAAAATACCAAGTAATTTCGTTAGAAAATGTGGCTCAACAAGTTAAAAATTATCAGTCGTTTTTTGCCAACAGATGTATACCCTCAGCCAATGTTCGATTATTTAAATATATTTTCAATTCTGTTATATTTATTCAAATTGTTGACCCTCTATCGAGTAGGTTCCGAAGGAATGGAACAATATTGTCCATTTCGTATCAGACCTTAACATATATATGATATAAATATTGCGAAGTGTCAGGTTTGGACTATATTGGTTACTTCCTTCACTTTACATGTGATAATTTTTGAGAAAATGTTAAAATGTGCGTGAGGTACCACATGTAGGCGGCCGAAGTAATCCATTTTCTCACTTCGTCTAATACAGATAAAAATATTGGTATGGGAAAAATTACAGGACAATCGAACATGTATATCCAATTTTGCGAAATGCGAAATCATAAAATTCATCTTAGGTTCCTGATTGAGAGAAATATTTAGATATTAATGGATATTCAAAATTTCGACCTTTTGTGGGGGAGGTACCAGAAGGAGTGGGCCGATATATTCTATTTTAACACCAGATCTTGAATTTATAAAAAAATTGTGATGCGTGAAATTTTAAGACAACCGAATTCTTACTTAATATTTTATAAGAGTTATAATTATTCAAAATGTTGACCCTTTGTGGGGGAAGCACTTAATGGAGTGAACTGATATTATCCATTTTTGCAGCTGACTGAGAATTGAGGACAATTTTAGGAGTTGCAAAGTTTAAGCAAAATTGGATTATTTTTTTCTCTTTCTGTGCAGATTTTTTTTTTTTTTTGAAAATTTCGACCATTTGGGCGGAATACCCTCCACCTTAGGGTAAAGGAAACATAAGAAGAAATGTGGCAAAAACCATCAAAATACCGAATATCGGAGGGTACCGTTATATGGGGGCTATACCAAATCATGGACCTACACATGCAAGGTTTCGCCAATGAAGCTAGAACCCATTATGACCTACAAATACCAATTTTCAGACAAATACGTGAAAAAAATGTGGCAAAAATCATCATATTACCGAATATCGGGAGGTACCGTTATATGGGGGCTATACCAAACCGTGGACCTATAATTACAATGACTCGCCATACGAACTGGGACCCATTAAGATCTACAACTACCAAATTTTCAGAGAAATTCGTAAAAAATGTGTCAAAAATCATCAAAATACCGAATATTGGGAGGTACCGTTATATGGGGACTATACCAAAACGTGGACCTATACTTGCAATGTTTTGCCACACGTACAGGGACCCGTTATGATCTACAAATACTAATTTTCAGACAAATCCGTGAAAAAATGTGGCATAAATCATCAAAATACCGAATATCGGGAGGTACCGTTATATGGGGATTATACCAGAACGTGGACCGATATATCTCATTTTCAATACCAACCATCCTAGACACAATACCAATTGCTCTGCTAAATTTTGGCGCTCTATGTCAAATAATGTGGGCTGTATCGTGATTTCAACAGACAGACGGACATCGTTAAATCGACTTAGAATTTTATGCTGATTATGAATATATATACTTTATGGGGTCTGCGACGAATATTTAAGAATGTTACAAACGGAATGACAAAGTTAATATACCCTCCTTTCCAATGTGGAGGGTATAAAAATTAGGATATGCAAAGTTGGAGTAAAATCGGATCATCCTTTCTTTTTCCGTGCAATAAAATATTTTCTTTGAAAATTTCGACATTTCGTGGAGAGGTACCAGAAGAAATTGACCGATTTTGTCCATCTCCGAATTCAATCTAAGTTTGACAAAAATATTTCGATGGATCAAGTTTGGACTAAATCGGATACTCCCTTCGAGAGTTATCGTGCATACCAGCCAGCTAAACAGACGGACGGATGGACGGAATGACATCGCTAGATCAACTTCAAATGTCCTGAAATGGATTTGGTCCAAAGAGACCTAGGGTCTAGGCACGTTTTGACCGTATCAAATGATATTTACCCTCTGAAGCCATATGGCTGAGGGTATAAAAATCATCAAAATACCGAATATCCGCTAGAATCTTTATATGGGGGGCTATCCTAAAAAATTGGATCTACATGGACAATTTTCCACTATAGTATGTTCGGCGAATACCGAACACTCATTTTGAAGTGCTACTAGAATTATAATTAATATCTACTGGTATCATTTTATGGGGCTAAAGGAAAACGTGGAACTATATAAAAAATGTCCCGCCACTGGAGGTAGAGTCCAATATGAACTCCATATACCGAATTACGCTGGGAACTGAGTTTCAAATCATCAAAATATGGATACGGAGGTGGTGGCGAAAGTTAACAATACAGGTGTCATATTAGAGGCTCTATAATTAGAGTGACTAAACTTTCATAGAAATAATCAAGTCAGAAGGACGAAATATATCACAAAAGAATCCTTATTTGATTAACATAAAGATATGTCATGTCAAAAATGAGCTACAAACATATATATAACTCGATTTCTTGAAGCATTTATCACCCATGGGTAATCTGTCCTTCAGAGTTTCTAAAGACTTTTATTCCCTACAAGAGTTTTCAACCCTCCAATTTTTCGGATCACAGTGATTTTTTTGTCGAATTACCGAATTATTTGTAACCAAAGTATAAATACCCGAGAAACATTTCCCCCAGATGTCTTCATAAGTCAAGAACAAAAGTTGGAAATTCGAATGCGATCTGATATAGATTTTTTGCTGTCTCTTTTGGTATTAATTTAATGCGTTCTAATTTGATTTTGTATTTTTATATTGTATATTTTTTGGCCACATTCACCAAAACATCTTCAATCATTCACCAAATCGATTTGGACATCAACCGAGGCTCGATGCTTTGATCCCACCAAATATCTAGATGAAAACTTATATGAGGCTTCGGGCAATGCCATAATTGGTTTCACCTTCCATAGCGTAAAATTTCTCAAAATTATATCGTGCTAAAATCAAGCGAAAAAAAATCTTCAAATTATCTAATTCTCTTCTTCAACTCAATAAGTCAACTTACATTGTATGGACACGTATGATTAATATTCGTAAAGGGCGCCAAAAAATTATACATGCGATTAAATGCCAAATACTTTCGGGGATTTCTCAAAAAGGCACAGCCATCCCATGAGCCATTGAAGAGAGGTACATTGGTGCCAGCTGTGAGGCCAAAAGTAACCGACACATAACAGTTGCGAACGGGCAGCTGAAGGAGACGTGCCGTTATTGAGATACTTGTTCGCCGCCTTCGATCCAAGGTCGCTTCACATATGTCGAATTTCACAAAGTCCGGATCAATGGCCTTGCATCTTAGATTTCTCAGCACCAAGGTGGTGGCACTCTGTAACTGTTAATTGTTAAACAAATTTAAACAAATGTGTTATAAATATTTAATAATAATTAATTTGTAATTTACTTTTATACAAAATACCAAAAATATTACAATTCTGAAGAAGGTGGATAGTATCATGTTTCTATTAAAATGTGTCAAAATTTATATTTTTGATATTTTTTTAGTTTGCTGTTGACACACGACTAATGTTTATTGTTTTTGGAAAGAAGTGTATCGATTGAATTTTAATGATTATTTAATGGCATTCGATTAGATTTTTTCAAATTAGATAATTTTGGAAAAAATTCGTATCAATTAAATTCAAATAGAGTAATTATCCAAATATGTTTTTACCTAACTTAATTGAGCGAAATATGCATCATGGAAAAGTGCTCAAAATAAATTAATGCAGAGGGTATTGTACGTATATTATGGTTTTATTCTCAGCAGTTCTGCATGATGCATATTTCGCTCAGTTAGGTTGGAAAAAAAACAAATTTGGATAATTGTTGTATTATAATTTATTGAAACCAATAACAATATTAACCAATAACAACATTAACCAATCAATATTGGCGCCTAAAATAAGTTAAAAATATCAATCGGTTTTATTCACAGTGGAATAAATTTTAGAACAGTTTCATATTAAGGTATATACATTGCAAAGTTCGAATTGAGGGTTTTATTAAATTAGGCAACAACTTGAAATAAACTTCGGGAACATCATGGTCTGTGTAAGATTTGATATTGATTCAGAAATTTAAAGGCATAGCTTTGAATCGTTTCCAAGTTGAAATGCTTGGTTGAAATTCAATCCAAGATAAAGTATATTCTGCACTGTAACATTACGCCCGATTTTGGCATTTCAAACGTTTAGGTCCAAATTTTTGAGTTCTGACGTGTCATGACTAAAAGAATATTTTATAAAAAATATCTAAGTATAATTAATTAAGAAATTAAAGGGCTTTTACTGGTGGCGATATGCACCAATCTATGTTCTTTCTTTAAAAGCATTTGATCGGGAACACTTGCTACTGTTGTGCCATGTGCTGGAGTCGGTGTAACCTCCGGTTACGTAGAAAATATTTAAGTTGTGGGCTTGTATAAAAATTTGGGGGGCTAACTATCAACTTGGGACTGTTGCAATGGTCCCTGAGAGCCGTATTATTACTTGGCTTAATTTCACACACGGCATAAAATGTAAACAAACACCTCGTTTCTGATTGGTTGAAACAAATTTGCCGCAAACTTTAAATGTCATGGCGAATGTATGTTTTTCGCCTTAGATGCCAATTTTGACATTTGAGGGTACCACAAAAGTTGCTTTGTTGTAGCAATTCGCCAATGCTGTTACCTGTTGAATCTACCTTGGTACAGTCAAAACACCCCTTTTGAGGCCGATGCCAAGGAAAGAGCAACTTCTGCCTTCCTCATCGATTGTCCGTATAGGTCCACTAGGCCTATGGAGTGGTTGGGTCGTATATCGACTTCTTTCTGCAAACGCCAGGCCTATAACTGGCAGCGGGAGAGCTAGAGTTGTTATGGGTCAAAACATTCCTTATAAGCTCGATGGCAGGGGAAGAACAATCTTTGCCTTCCTCTTCGACTGTTCTGTTGCAGCAGGCATTCCATTAAATAAACCAACTTGGCTGGGTCGTATATCGACTTTTTTCCCGTAAACGACAGGACTAGAACTGGCAACGGGAAAGCTACGTCAACGCATATCCTCCTTACAAAATTGAGAAGTCAGGTCGTTTTTTAACTTCGGCCGGATGAGTATCCTGCGCTGTAGGCAGCGACTTCATTCGGATTGCGCGATACATCCATTTCGGATATAGATAGCTGCATTGAGGGTTTAGGTTCCGACTTTTCTTGGAGAACGTAGACGGATTTGTCTAGTGTTGCGTAGATCTGGTGATCCCAAGAAACTGGACTGGTCACGGCCGATATCGGCAATCTTGACCAGATTATTGAAGCCAATATTCGCCTATGCGAAAAAGGCCGGTATAAAGACTTTTTCGAGGGAATTACGGCAATTCCAAGGCCTATGTCTAGGTCAAGCGAATGACGGATAGCTTTGAAAAGGGGCAGGAAATGTAGTTCTATTCTTTTTAACGATCCTCTTCAATCTTTGCCGGAATCTAGGGTATATCCTGACTGCTTGGAGGATAAGATGGTTTTCATACTGAAACAGGATTCTGATCACTTTCAGAAGCTTATTCATCTTTTATTCTGGCAAGAATTAGAAGAACCAAGGAAGAATGGAGGTCTCCACGGGACTTTCAGTTTGGTTTTAAGACTTGGTCTACCCTCCGCCCATTCCTTAATGGTTTTTGTTAGCTTTGTTGGCAAAGACTTCTACAGGAAGTATGGAACTTTAGCCGTCTGCCTAGATAACCCCAGGTATTCAAATTCTCTCTGGTACGATGGACTTTTAAACAAATATTTCATTCCAGGTAATCAGAATAGAAGAGATTGCAACCTGATATGGAGCGTTCACAATAAAGACTGGGTTAGGAGAGAAGTTTTGGCAGAGCCGTTAAATATGAGAAGGTTGTCTTGTAAAATGTGCCCATCTTCTTTAAACTCCAAAATAACATTCCTTTATTTATTCACCAAGCTCTGTCGCACATTGGGTGCCACTCAATGGGGCAAATTCTAATGGGTGTGGTTCCGGAATAGTTTTGTCAAAATAGTTACATGAGCTTAGACTTTTAGAAGTGTGTGAACTGTGCTAAATGGTGATGAATTGGAAATAGTATGGTCTGGTTTGAACGGATGAAGTTGGAATTTTGAAATTTTGTATTGTATTGTTCCTGTTGGTAGTAGGTATGTGAGAAAGAGGTGTTTTGAAAATGTTTACTACAAGTGCATGAAATATTACTATATTTGGTAACATTTGGTATTGGGAGATAGTGTTTGGGTAGCTGTTCATGTGTAGCCTGGAGGTGGTTTCGGAAATGTATAACATAATTGCATGAAAAGGGATAGGGATAAAAGGGAAAGGAGTATCCGATTTGGTCCAAACTAGGTACATCGTACTAGATTTGTCAAACTTAGATCGAGTTCGGAGATGGGCAATATCGGTCCACTCCTTCTGGTACCACCCCCACAAAAGGTCGAAATTATCAAAAAATATCTTTTTTTGTTGTTTGCATAGAAAGAGAAAGGGCAATCATAAGCCATTGTGAAAATGGATAATATCGGTATCAAGTATCTCCCCCACAATTGGTAAAAATGTTCACATTCTAATATTTATGTAAACCCAAGGACTGGTGTTAAGATGGAATATATCGGTCCATTGCTTCTGGTACCTCTCCCACATATGGTATAATAAAAAAAATATATTTTTATATATTTATTTATATTTTTTCCACAGAATGAGAAACGGTAATCCGATTTTGCTTCAACTTCCCAAATCCTATTATTTGCGTCAGTGGTAGGTCAGTTGTGAAAATGGACAATATCGATCCACTCTATCAAGTACTTCCCCCACAAATGGCCAAAATTTTGAATAATTACAGCTCTCATAAAAGGTGATGTAAGAGTCCCATTGTCTTCAAATTTCACACATCGTAATATTAATATTAACCCAAATAAATAATAATAATAATAATAATAATAATAATAATAATAATAATAATAATAATACTAATAATAATAATAATAATAATAATAATAATAATAATAATAATAATAATAATAATAATAATAATAATAATAATAATAATAATAATAATAATAATAATAATAATAATAATAATAATAATAATAATAATAATAATAATAATAATAATAATAATAATAATAATATAATAATAATAATAATAATAATAATAATAATAATAATAATAATAATATAATAATAATAATAATAATAATAATAATAATAATAATAATAATAATAATAATAATAATAATAATAATAATAATAATAATAATAATAATAATAATAATAATAATGATAATGATAATAATAATAATAATAATAATAATAATAATAATAATAATAATAATAATAATAATAATAATAATAATAATAATAATAATAATAATAATAATAATAATAATAATAATAATAATAATAATAATAATAATAATAATAATAATAATAATAATAATAATAATAATAATAATAATAATAATAATAATAATAATAATAATAATAATAATAACAATAATAATAATAATAATAATAATAATAATAATATCCGATTTTGCTCCAACTTTGCATATCTTAATATTTGCGTCAGTGCTATGACTGGTGCGAAAATGGACAATATCGATCCACACTTTCTGGCACCTACCTCACAAACGCTCAAAATTTTGAATATCAATGAAGCTTATAAAAGCGGAATTAACGTCCGATTCCATTCCAGACATGGTACATCGTAATAGGGTTCAAGATTTTGAAAAACAATACGCACAAAGAGATCTAAATAAGCATCAAACAGTTTTTTTATTTATGCCCAATATGAAATGGACAATATTTTCCCATTCTTTCCAAACCCACTCCATAGTGGGTCAAGAGTTTTAAAATTCATAACAGAAGTCAAAATATTTTTAAATAATCGAACATTGGCTGAGGGTATACATCAGTCGGCAAAATCGACCGATACCTTTTTACTTGTTTTATCTAAATATTACTATGTGCCGAGTTTGAGCTATATCTTCGCTCATTATAAGATTTGCAACTGAAATTTTGAGCGTTTGTGGGAAGGTTCCTGAAGGTGTAGACCGATATCTCCGAAACCCTATAAATTGGGTGTATAGCGCCTAGAAGTCTAAATTTATTTAACGACTACCGTTTGTTTGTCTATAATAAGCAATATTTGATATTGCGTTTAGGATAATTGGTGTCGAAAATTAATTTTATCGGCCCAAGTATAGACAAAGAGTCCCTCAAATTACATAAATCATGTTGATCTAAAGACACCCTTTTCCTATGGGAAAAAGTCTATTATTTTCTATCACATTTAAATAAGACGTTTATGATGCATTATTTTTGCCTTTAGAGTTTGTTTTAATGTCCAGTATTACGTGTAAGTAACGACATCACTTATACGCACCCACGCCCAACACATTATCTTATCTCTAAGTTATTTAAATGAATTTTTAATCAAATTCACAACTTTCTTTCAGAAATTCACCGATATACGCTTGAAGAAGCTCCACGACTGTTTTATGGGCATCAAGCTGATAAAACTTAATGCCTGGGATAATGTTTTCATTAGGAAAATCACCGAAGCTCGCGACAATGAATTGAAATATCTTAACAAGGATTCATTTTATTGGACTCTAATGAGTAAGTCAGTCATATTGGGAAATTTTGAAAATTTTCCATAACATTAACGATAATTACAATAGCTCTTTCTCTTTCTCTCTCTCTCCGCAGCAATTTTGACTCACATCTCCTCGGTGCTCATTACCTTTGTCACCTTGGCCGTTTATGTTTATTACGAGAGTAATTCGGAAATCACGGCCAGTCGTTTATTTTCCGCTTTGGCATTGTTTCAACAGCTAACTGTTCCCCTGCTCATATTTCCCATAACTGTGCCCATTATTCTGTCGGCCATTGTTTCGACGAGGCGTTTGGAGAAATTCCTAGCTGCCCATGAAATACAAAAACAATTCGAGGGGATACGCAATATGGCCAGGATTCTAAGTAAAAGTGATGCCTCACTGGATATGTATGAGGTCAAGTCGAAGTCGCTGCCAACGAACATAACCTTGAGAACGGTTAGTGAACAGGTGAACAAGGTGGGCAAGACGACGGAGAAGCCGAACATTAAAATATTCATACCCGACAAACCAGCACCGTTGGCCAATTCGGAGCCACAAACGCCACTGGCGGTGCCGGAGCATAAGGAGATGTTGGAGTTTCCAGTCGATCATAAAAAATTGTCATCTCATGCACGTAAGGAGCTGTTGCGCAATACTCCTTATGTGGTCATACGGCCACGCAAAAATCTAACCACACATGGTAGACAGCAGCAGCAGCAACACCAACACCAGTCCAAGCAGCAACCTCAACAAAACCATGCAGGTGGACAACAACAGCAACAACAAGTGCAAGCGGGACATCGTACATCACATCATCGCAAGGGAAAGACCGATTCATGGCATCGTGATTCATTGCTTTTAAAAATGCCCGATGATATTGCGGTATCGGTAAAGAATTGTAAATTCTCATGGAATCCCCAGGGCACCAATGCCATGCTTTATATTCGAGATTTTGTTGTGCCCCGTGGAAGGTTAACCATGATTGTGGGCAAAAATGGCAGTGGAAAATCGTCGCTGTTGTCGGCGCTGCTAATGGAAATGCCATTAATATCGGGCGACATGATATGGAATAAGTGAGTAGAGAGAATTTATTTAATTTTAAATTCAAGTGAAAATTATTGAAATCCGGTAAATTGAGGGTGCTAAATTCTTGCAATGAATTTACCACTTTATTGATTATTGAAAAAATATGCAAAAAACAAAAAATGCATTATCTTCTAAACATTGTCAGACAAAATATTTTCAGCCAGTGTTTGTATATAGAAAGTTCGACGATATAGACGATCATCAAATTCTTTTATTTTTATACCCTACACCGCAAAGCGCATTTTTTTTAAACATGGAGAAAGATGCGATATAAACCCATATTTCCTTTTGAGGATCTTCATAGAATCACTTTCTGAGTCGATTTATGCATGTCAGCCAGTCCGTAGGTTGCATTTATTACCCGATTGAGATGAAATTTTCCAAACATTATTTGTTTCCTCCAAGGACGAACCCTATAGCAATTGGTGAGAATCGGTTCAAATTTAGATATAGCTCCCATATATATCTTTAACCGATTTCAGGGAAATTGTGCACCAAATGGACAATATCATTACATATAACCTGCATTTTGGCACATTCGAACGAATTCAGTGTAGAAGTGAGTACATCAAATTTGGAGAAAATCGGTTCGGATGGAGCTATAACTTCTATATATATTTCGTCCGATTTGAGGCATTAAGTCCCTCACATGCGTAATATGCACTCCACAAGATTGATATTTGGTATTAGATAACTTATGGAATTCAAAAAATGCTCGTTAAATTTTATCGATATCGGCCTAGATTAGGATATAGCTCCCATGTACGGGTGAGATAAAAAAAAAATGCAATAAAGTCAAACGCCATGATTTTTACATTTTTTTAAATTTTATTGAATGAAACAAAAAATGTCGGAAATAGCATCAAATTTTAGAATAAGTTTAGATTTGTTCGAATTGGTCAATTTTGGCAAGAATTATGGCCTTCAAACGGCCAATGAAACCGTCATACGCTGCCCTAATGTAAAAGTGATGCCTGCGGTATTTTGGCCCAATCCCGGCGAAGCGCTTGATTGAGGTGATCGACACTTTGATAATATTTTAGTGCCAGTCTTGCTTTCCAAAATACTCCAGACACAATAGTCCAACGGATTGGTATCCGGAGATTTTGGTGGTCATTGTGCGCTGGAAATGAAGCGAGGAACCTCATTTTGTAACCATTCTTGGGTGGTGCGTGCTGAGTGCGATGGTGCTGAGCCCTGTTGGAATGTCAAAGGTCTGCGGCCAAAATGTTTGCGTGCCCAAGGCTTTAATTCACCCTTCAGAATATTTTCGCGATAATATTCGACATTTATTCTGATGCAACGATCGATAAATACGAGCGGAGAACGACCATCGGCTGTTATGCCGGCCCACACCATCATCATGGCCGGCGCTTGAGTTCTGTTGGCCAACCGAAGGTGCACATTTTCAGCTGACCTCTTCATCATCATCGATCATTTTGTTTGTTTACAAACTGCTGGACAACGAATGTTTCCTCATCGGAGAAAACCAAATTCGGCAGTTCACCACTTTCGGCCAAGCGAAGCAACTCTTTAGCTCTTTTGAGTCTATTTTCTTTCTGTTGCGGTGTAAGTTCTTGCACTTTTTGGAATTTGAATGGCTTAACCCCGAGCTCATTTTTCAATATTTGCCGAATGGAATATTGCGATATTTTCAGCTCACGAGCCATTTTTCGGCCACTGCGACGCGGGTTTCGATCAAGTAGCTTCTTTACTTTTCGAACCATTTCTGCTGATGTTGCTGTTTTCTACCGTCCACTTCCTTGACGTCGGGCTACGCTACCAGTATCACGGTAAAGAGCGATGATACGATGATTTATTCACATTTAATTGCTGGAGTGCTCTAACGATAACCACTTGTGGTTTTCAGCCAAATATAACGAAATCACACTATCACGCTTGAATTCCATCACGAATAATTTTTTGGAATAACTCTAGTTTAGTAAAAACTCTTCGATTTTTTCGAAATTTTTCCAGAGGTAGTTATTTTTACCCTGATTCCGGGAAACTATTTTTTTCTTGGAGGGCTGACCCGGACTGGACCCGGATCCACTTAACCGATATAGACAATATATGTATCGTTTGAAAGCTTATAAAAATATCTATCTACATCTATTTGGTTCGCGTTAGGCTGTGTGGAGCATACCTAGAGGAGAAAATCTAAGGCCGGCAACTTACAACAACTGTTAAATGTAAAAAAAGACTTTAGTTCGCGTAGCTGTTTCAACGTACCAGGAAGAGAATACCTCCGGACCCGAAAAAGGTATTAGCACAAGTTGTTGCATTTTGGAAAGGTAAGAGCGTCAGCAATAATTTGGCATCAATTTGGTTGCCCCCCTATAATGGGCCCCTTTTCGACTTTTTGGGGTTTTTATAAAAATTCTGGGTCCAAAAACCAATAATTTGACTATAACTTTCGAACCGCTTAAAAATTGCGCCACTTTTGGATAAGTATTTTCATAAGCTTTCCAACGATACCTATATATTGCTTATATCGGGTAACTGGTTCCGGGTCTAGTCGGGGTTTGGAACCCCGACTTTCTAGTCAAAAATCCATGGTCCCAGGTCCGTCCTCCAAGAAAAAAATAGTTTCCCCGGAGCAGGGGAAAAATACCTACCTCTGGAAAAAATTTCGAAAAAATCGAAGAGTTTTTACTAAACTAGAGTTAAGCCCCCTTCTTTTCATGGTGGAGGGTATAAAACAAACAAGAAATATGAAGTACCGCAAACCAAACTTTTTAGATTTAGAACCTTTCAATTTCAATAGTTATATAATATAAATACCGGAACCAATAACCTCCATCCCTAATTTTAAACAATTATTTTCCGAATTTCTTCAAAGCCGCTACAACATCTTCGGAAAATGAAAAACAGACCAAGTTCATAATTTTATAATTGGGTGTTATTGATGCGATTTTAAAGGATCAGTCGTCAATCTTCCTCACCTCCACCAGACATTCTTGCGCTATCAAATTCTGCCAAAAAATCTCATCGTAATTTCCTGTCAATTGAAATCTAATTGGGATATTTGGAATGTTTCTTAAGAAACTAAGCTGCAATTTGACATTTTCTATTTTTAAATGCAGAGACCCCAATAAATAATTTGAAGACAAAGTCCAAAATATTTTTTTAGTCTCAATGCCTTACGAGTATTATCCTACATTTGGATTCCAGAACAATTTTATCAACATATCAAATCTCGGCAAATAAAACCCTACCCAACCTTGACCTTTGGAAACATATCAAAATAATTTATTTACAATGAACTAAACAAAACCCATTGATGCATGAAATGTTTTAAAAGTTTCTTTTTTTTTAATTTTCCCAAAAAAATAATGCTCTTCAAACTAGCTTCATACATTGAAATAGGATGCATAAATCCTTGCAAGTATTTGAAGACTAATTAAAATGCCATTTGAAGCTAAACCAAGTTAAGCCACTACACAATATTCGAAGAAGAGACATAAACCTCAGCTGTTTTCGAAGTCTTCGAAAAAAAATGCCAATTAACCTAAATGCATACACACATACACGTGCATGAATAGAAATTCCGATATGCATGTTGAAATGTACGTGTGTGTGAGTGCGGTTATGCGGTTCGTTGGTATAATAACTCTTATTTTATGTCTTTATAAAAATCGTTGCAAAAGAAAGTTCAAACTGTGCAGTTTTTTTTGTTGCCTTTGTTTTTTTCTTTTTTGCTTTTGCTGCCATCATAAATCTTACCAAGCTATATGAACTGAACTGAATTTTGAACGGCATACACGCATTTTGGCATCTACGCATGAATGGCGGAAGAAGACGACGACACATGGAAGATAAAGAAGACAGAGGGACTGACACTATGAAGAAGACGATTCAGACATTTATAATGGTAATTGAATTTGAGAGAATTTTTTTTGGGTGAAAAATGTAGAGAATGAAAAACTTGCTGTCGGATGTCTGATTTCGGGATTCGTTGGGGAAAACAAAGTATTTTCTTTGAAATGCTTTACGTTTCTTTGCCAGTTGTAGATTGGTTGGTGTGATGTGTTGACTACTTGAAAATTGCTTAAAAGTGAGTGAGGAAGTGAATGTGTGTGTGTGTAGGCGACCAAGCAAATATGTTGCAAGTGTGGCTTGTGCATGCATATCCGTTCGAATTATGCTTTACAACTGAGATTTTATGATCCAACAAAAGGGTTGACTTTGTGCGAGTTATTGGCCACTTTTTAGACAGTGGTGCCATTAAATCCCTCTTTGGGCCTTCAGTAAATTTCTCTGGTTACCGGGTAGCGATAGTGGGATCTTATTGAGCATTTCCAAAATTTGGATTGCCGGTAAATACAACACATCATATAATGTTGTTGTTTTATAGTAGTCTTATTTAGTTTTCGGATTTTTGTACCCTCCACCATACATAGTATAGAGGTTATATTAAGTTCGTCATTCCGTCTGTAACTCATCGAAATAATAATTTTAGACCCAACAAAGTACATATCTGTTGTAGTCACGCTATAGTCAAAACGAATTAAGTTAGGAAAAATTTTTAAATTTTTAAAAATTAAAAAAGCTGTAAGTTCGGCCGGGCCGAACTTTAAATTCTAAATCTATTAAAAATTCTATTAAAATATTAAAAATACCGAATGTTGCCGTATATTAGGGTCTATACGACGACGTGGACCTGCATAGGCAACTTTTGTCATAAGCTATTAGAATATTCAAATGCGAAACTTGAAAAAAATATGTTTATAACGTAGCTAAAATCATCAAAATACCGAATATTGGTGGTACCGTTATATGAGGGCTATGCGAAGACGTGGACCTGCACAAAAAATTTTCTGTCATAGGCTGTAGTATTCATTACGAACTTCAAATATTCAAATTTAAGATTCGTTCAAAAAGTTCGTGTTAGTGCTTTTAGGTACTCAACGTGTTAAACTTGACATATTTTTTGAATCAAAACTTCATACCTCGTTTCAGCCTTTCAAAGTTTCAGTCTTTCAAG